AGAATGTGGACTCTGTGGTGTCACCATCTGACTGGACCCTCAGCCCATGTGGGAGGCTGAGGGACATAGCGGAGGTGACTGTCCATTCATAAGGGTTGGGAATGGTCAGTGACACCCTGACCATGTATGCCTGCCCCTGCCTGGGTGGAGGTGTCTCCTGGGGCAGGGGTGGGGCATATGCCTTGGAGTTTGTGTCTCTTGGTATGGGGTTTGGAAGTTTGGTCTTTTCAGCAAGGCTAGCCAGACAGAGAGAGGTGAAGTCATTATTTCATCCACCCATTATACTCATCCATGTATCTGTCCATTCATCCATCTGTCCATCATCTGTCTGTTCACCCAGGAACCCGGTCACTCCTTCAGCAGGCACCCTTTAGGCATGGTTTATAGAAGGACTGGTTCTTATTTCACAGATGGAGAAACTGAGGCTGCAGTGGGGTGTTCAAGCTCCCAGAAGGCCTTGGGTAGCAAGTAGGAGTGGTGTGGAGCTCTCTGTTCTTGGGGTGTGTCTTCCACAACTCTTTAAAGACCTTGTGAGCAGTCAGGTCTTCCCTCTGGGGAGTCTGTTAGGAATCTGGGAGTCCTGGGTCTCCTCCTGAGGTCAGCAGCCTTTTCCTTGGGGGATGTGGGGGTGTTTGAGAGTTAATGGGCAGTGCCATCTTAGACCTTCTTCATGTGGCTTAAACCTTCCTTTCCCCAGGGAGGGCCTTGAGGCACTCACTGAGTTCTACCCAGGGGATTTTCCTGGGACAGGACATGGATAGCTTGAGGCACCTTGTGTTGCCAGCAGGGCTGACACCATCCGTGAGGCCCAGAGCCCAGAGTACCAGGTGGGCAAGTCTCCAAAATCCAGCTCAAATATTTCCTAGCTGGGTGACCATGGGCAAGAAGTTCAACTTCTCTTTGTCTCAAAATGGAGATAACATCTCCTCTAAAATGGAGGTAGCAGAACCTACCCATGGGGTTTAATACAGATTCATCTACAAAGTCCTTGGGATGGGGTTTGGCACCTCTTGGCTCCCCTTATCTGACATGTCAGAACTTACCCCTCATGGGTGAGGCAGGTGGTTCTGCTGTAGGCACCTGCCAGCTTAGGAAGTGTGATTCCCAGCACACCCACCCCTCACACACTGACATGCTCGATCCAGGCTTCAGAGGCTCCTGGAGAGAAGGGTCTCTGGTGTAGTTTAAAGTGCAGCAGTCAAGGCCAGGGCAGAATGGGCCACCTGGCTGTCCCCCCAAGGCCTGGTGAGCCTTGGCCTCACCCCAGGGCCAGCTGGACGAATGCTCCAATTAAAGGTAATTCCCCCTTTCCTACCTTGAAATTCCTATCGATTTCCTCCCTAAATAGAAATTCCCATCGATTCCTTGTCTGTCCAGATTACTATCCTCGGCTGTTGCCTGCAGAGCCGTGCATCTTCCCGCTTCTTTCAAGGCCCATAACTCTTTGCAAGGTGACCCTGCCACCATCTGCACCTCCCCAGCTGGCCTGAAAAGAGGGTCCTCCTTTGCCCCAGGTGGAAATAAAGATGTCATGATGCTTGGGACAGATGTGGCGGGGGGGGGGGGGGGGCAGGGGGGCTGACTCTCCCTAAAACTCCTTAGCTCGTTGCTCAGGTGGGAGGTCAAGGACCAACAGGGATATCCTTGGCTAGAAGCAGGCCCCCAGGTGAGGGCAGGGTAGATCCAGCTGGGCTACCCGGGAGGAGGCTGTGCCTACTGAGTCTGGACTGGTTCCCCAGAGCAATCGAGGATCTCTCAGGGGTGGGGAATTTATACCAGGTCAATTGGCAGATGCTGTAGATCTGCCCACGCTGTTCACAAGAGCTTGCTGGGGAGCACGGATAGGTGTCCCACCCCACACTTGCCTCTCAGCCTGTGGCCACTGCTCTATCCCTTCCAGAAGCATCAAATGGCTCATCATTGGATATCTCCATCTTTGCCCATGTTCTGCTCAGTCCCACCCCCAGCCAGCACCAATGCTGATGGACCCTGGCCATTTTCTTCCCTTCTCCTCCACTCCCCTGGGCTGGTAAATAAAAGAGGTCAGGTCCCCATCCTGTGGAGCTTTGGGGCCAACTGGCTTAGCGGCTGGGTAAACCCAAGTCACTGCGCGCCTGGGGCCGTCAGTCCCCTATCTGGACAGTGGTTCTGAGCAGTACAAATTGTGTCAAAACTCACCTTCAAGCAGCTAGCTGAAAACCCAGGCTGCCCCACATGGAGGGAAGTACACAGAGAGGTAAACGGCCATGTCCAAGGTCACACAGCTCCTCAGTCTCGGCTGGGATTTGAAGCTGTCCCTGTCACTGGGAGGTCTGATAGAGCTGTTGATAGTGACGAAGCCACGTGCTCCACCCTCTGCCTTGAGTTGGGGTCTCTCACTGACCCTGGACTTGAGCTGGAGACTGGAAAACCCCAGAGATCCCATCTCCCTGCTCCTAAGACGCTGGGGTTACAAGTAAATGCAGTCACACTTGGCTTTGACGTGGGTGCTAGGGATCCGAACACAGGTTCTCAAGCTCGCCACCCAGCAAGTGGTTTACCTGCTGAACCATCTCCCCAGCCACCAACACCCTCTTTTTTTTTTTTTGAAACAGAGTTCCTTTGTGTAACCTTGGCTGTCCTAAAATTCGCCCTGTAGACCAGGCTGGCCTACGCGAAGTCACAGAGATCCGCCTGCCTCTGCCCCCTGAGTGCTGGGATTGAAGGTGTGCACCATCACTGCCTGGCCTGATACCCTCTTTTAAGGCAAGGTCTCATGTAGCTTAGGGTGATCTTCAACTCACTAGTTAGCTAACATCTATTCCGGATCCTCCTCAAATTTCTTAATGCCTGTCTTCAGATCTCACACTTGGGGAGCACTGAGGATGTCCTCAGGTGCTCTTCTGTATCTTTCTACACCTCCAAGAGACCACGCCAGTAGGGCAGCCACTGACTCATTGACATGGGGGATAGCTCAGACACTGGCATTTCCTTGGACAACCTCTGCGGAGTTCCCCAGAGCTGCAGCCTTATCCTTCCTGTACCCTCCATCCCAATACTCTGATGTGCAGATATGTTTGTGCAGTGTGAAACTTGATTATTTCCTGATTAGTTACTCACCATGCTTAATTCACTCTTCCATTGATCCTGCTCCACAAAGAGGGACAATCCTGCCCCTGCCACTCATCAGCCACTTTGGTATGGTGGGAGGCCCAGAATATCAAAATGGTATGGCCTGTGGGGGATCTGGGTAGCCAAGTGCTGATTGGCTGGATTTGCTTAAAGTTCATTTGGATTTCTGATTTCAGGAGGGCAGGTGTGCGGATTAGAAGTTTGTCAACTTATCACAGGTAGGATCTTCTGGGAGGAGGAAACCTCATTTGAGAAAATGCCTCCATCACATTGGCTTATGGTCAAGTCTGTGAAGTATCTACTCAATTAATGATGGATGGAAGAGGGCCCAGCCCACAGTGGGTGGGGCCATCCCTGGGCTGGGGTTCCCAGGCTATATAAGAAAGCAGGCAGAGCAAGCCACGGGGGGGGAGCAAGTCAGTAAGCAGCATCCCTCCATGGCCTCTGCATCAGCTCCTGCCCGCAGGTTCCTGCCTTGAGTTTCTGCTCAGACTTCCTTTCACAGTAGACTGTTAACTGTAAGATGAAGTAAACCCTTTCCTCCCCAGGATGCTTTTGGTCATGGTGTTATCATAGCAACAGAAAGCTAACTAAGGACATCAGTGGATAGCAAAGCCTGCTGTAGACATCAGCATTTCATTTTTTTCTTGGCATATAGATGGTCCATCTGGCCGAGCCAAAGGACACCCTCCCAAGCAGCTGCCATTCTTTTAAGAAACTGACCAAGCCCTGTTCTGACTCAGCGCCCTTCCCTAACAAAAAGCACTCCAGGCTTGGTGATGCTTGGCTTTCATCTACTCACTTGTGCACAGATCCCGTGAAAGCAGGCGAGCTGTGCCAAAGGACACGTGGAGCCACCAACATCCCCGCCCTCAGGGGGTCTCATCCCAACAGAGGAAGCAGAAACGAAAGCACCTGGACAGGTTGATTCTGATGGCAACAACTGTGAAGAAAAGTTTGTGTGTGAGTGAGTGAGTGGATTCTTTGAGGAGGGTGCTTCTGGGCGGGGAGGCCAGAGCGAACTGCCAATGGTCCTCACTGAGCATTCTGAAGGGAGGGAGGAGGAGGTGTGAAGCCCCTGGGCAGGTGTGAGCAGAGGAGGAGGTGTGAAGCCACTGGGCAGGTGTAAGCATGAGATCAAGGACATTGGCTGCACTGTGAAGTGTTAAGGTTCTGCTCTCTGGAACTGCTTCCTGAAGAAGAGGCTCAGTGTCCAGAGGAGGTCACCCTCCTCCGTGTCCAGTCCTGTCTTCTTTGCTTCCTCAGCGTCTTCTTCCTCCTCTCCCCTGGGGCCACCATCCTCAAGCAGCCAGGAGAACTGAGCCATCCTCCCCCAAGCCAGGGCGCCTTCTCCCAGCTCATAAACCTGGGCCAGTAACAGACAGTGAAGATGCTTTGGGAGCAAAAAGCCGCTGTTTATGGAGCAGCCGAAAGGTGTGGGTCTGCGAACAAAGCAGCTTGTTACACTTAGGCCCCAATAAAAAAGCTTCTAAGAGCCTAATTAACAGTTTAGGTACATATAAAAACATAATGAGAAAAACAATCTGTTTGCAAAAAAGGAACGAAAGAAAACGAAAAAAAAAATATGAAAAGGCCAAATTGGCAGAGCCCGACCTGCTGCTGGGCACGCGGCGTCGGCACAGCTCAGAGTGGCCGGGAGGGCTGGCCTAATGGCCTCCTTGCATGCCCATATTCCACCTCTGTATGTCTGAGCAATTTTCAACTTGGCAGGAAGGGAGCTGCACGGAAATTTGCGTAAGCCTTGATAAATATTTTATGCAAATTAAAATTGAATTCTTTGCTTAGTTTAAGCAATTTCCCTGTAAGGAGTGTGTCGAGGAGAGAGATTACAACATTTGCCTGGTTTGTTTATAATTTAATTTTTTTTT